GGAGATGGCTCAGTAGAATAAGCGCTTGCCTGGCAAGCGCAAGGGCCTGAGTTCAGTCCCTGGTTCTGGAAAAAAAAAAAAGAATAAGGACAGCCAGGTGTGGCGGACGGCCCACACTTTTCATCCCGGCACTCTGGGATTACAAATCCAAACTGGGTAATTCAGTAATTCAGCAAGACCCTTTCTGTCTCAAAACAAAAACAATTAGGAGTATCTGGGGTCCTAGCTCCATGGTAGAGCACTCCTGGGTTTGATCCTCATATCAAAAACAAAAACAAGGGCCGGGGAGATGGCTCAGTAGAATAAGTGCTTCCCTGGCAAGCGCAAGGGCCTGAGTTCAATCCCCGGTTTCACAAAAAAATAAATAAAAAAAAAAAAACAAAAACGTGAGGGGAGCTGGAGAGGTACCCCAGTACAGAAGCCCTGGGCCAGAGCCTGTGGGGATAAGGAGGCTGATGAATGCCTACTGTGTGCGGGGCAGTGGATATGGCAGCTCCTTGAATCCTCCCCACCACCCAATTAAAGAATTGTTATTGGAACCCTACAGACAGAGAAGCCGAGGCCCTGAAAAGTGGCTCTTTTTCCCCCCATTGAGAGATTGAGTGGTTTTGTTACACATCATGCAAGCTGGGAGGATTCATCTGCCTTCAGAGCCTTGGATTCTATCAGCAGATCCTATCCTCTAACAGCATTTTTGGAGGGTTTTGTCCAACCCGCAGTGGACCCACATACAGAGACTTACATGTTTGTGTGTGCGCTGCTGACAGGCTGCAGGGAGGGCTTTTTTTTTTTTTTTTTTCTGTTTTATTGGTGCTGGGGATTGAACTTTGCTGCTGCTGCTGCTGCTGCTGCTGCTGCTGCTGCTGCTGCTGCTGCTGCTGCTGCTGCTGCTGCTGCTGCTGCTGCTGCTTTTCTTTTGCAGTGCTGGAAATAGGACCCAGAGCCTTGGCCACGCCTGGCAAGCGCTCCCCCACCAGCTCACCCTGGCCCCTAGGGCTTCTTTTAATAAAATCTTCCTTTCCTATCTTTGCTTTTCAGGCCGGAAGCTGGCCCTCCTCCATTCCTGGGCCTGCCCTAGGAGGTGGCACGAAGCCCTTTGCCTCTGAGCTCTTGGGGACACACTGTTTTCTTGAGGCCCCGCCAAAGCTGCAGTGGCAGGAATCTGCCTCTCACTCCACTGCAGAGCCGGGGATCTGCATTACTGAGAATGGTGCCTCCTCTGCCCCAGGCCTCGCAGGTCCACAGCGGCAGGGCAGAGCCAAGGAAGGGCTGCTCTGACCCACCCATTCCCGAACAAATCCTTTCTAAGCATTTGTAACGTCCTAGGCACTGTCCAGAGCCTGAGGATGCAACAGAAAACAAACCTCAAATCCTGTTTTCATGGGGCAGGATATGTAAAACACCAGAAAAAAAATTCTATTAATTATTAGGTTAAAAAAAAAACAATATTTATTTTAGTATATGCTTTGGACTCAAGCACACATATCTAAGGCAGTTGATACATTTTCCAGATGGAAACTGGAGCACACAGTAGGTAAATGACTAGCTAAATTCACACTGCTAGAGTACAGACCCCCATCTCTGCTAGACACTGAGACATACCATAGGCCTCTTTTTTTTTTTTTTT